GCCAATTTCTCAGAAACATCAACAGAATGGGTGCTTGTTGCACTATTTTGACCATAACTCTGTCAGTTCTTGACCATTTTTGATCATCCAGGGACCGTTTTGAAGGGGAAGTCAGGCAGCATGTATTCCAACGGTTGCAACCGGTTACAACTGGTCATAGAACTTGCTCAAACTCAAGCAACTGCAACTGCAACTGATGGTTGCTGAACTGCAACTGCGACTTCAAGTTGTGTTGCTACCAGTCGCAGTCGTGTTGGGTTGCAGTCTTTTGCAGTTGTAATGACACGACTTCAAAACACTAGAAATGATATGTGTTTTTAGCACCAACTCCTTAGCGGACGTGATCTTGCTGTCACAGCGATATGTGGAAATGGATGAAGGTAATTGGAAATGATGCAATGCTGTTCATTCCTATGTACCCCAAGTATACTGCTTCAAAATACAGCTATGGGCTGTCGTACGAGGAGGTGGCGGTTTAGAGCAAAACAAATGAGGTTGACTACACATCAGCGGTGTTGGAAAGGAGTGGAGGTGCTAAGGCATTAGCAGACGTAGGCAGATACTGGAAGTTCGACATGTCATCCATCAACCCAGCTGTACAGGATTGTGTGGGTACACCCGCCCACACTGTGCTTGCTCCATCCGGATGTGTTCTGAGTATCAAGGGAGAGCTGGGGTGTGGTGTATGTGTGGGTATTAGCAGATGCAACAGCGAAGGTGAAATGTTAGTGGGTAGCGGCTGGATCGAGTGATGTAAGCCCCAATGTTCCTGGACTCTAGCAGCTGCCAGCCTCCTTGGCTCAGCCCTTCTTTCAATAACCGGGTTTTTCGATTGATGCTGTTGTGCTGGACCGGTAAGCAACGTCTGACGCCCCCTAAATGTGTCCTCTTGTGCTGCCTCGGTGTCCAGGTCATGTGATAGGGGCTGTCATGCTGGCCTGAACCATAGATTCCCCCTATGTTCAATGTGCTGAGGCCCAACATCTTCTATTCTGGCCAACCTATACCAATGAGGAGTCCTTGCTGGTGGAGCTGCCCTATTGCTCCAAGGGACAAAAACTCGATGTTCTGTCCACAGACCAAAGACATAAAGAAAAGCCAGGAGGAATGCGAGACTCCCCCCAAAGAGTAGGCCAAACAACTTGACAAAGTTCAGCGTTGACATTTCATCGTTTTGGGAAATAGGCGACATGTCACGTTAAGCTGCAGGATGATATGTGGCAGAGGTTGTTGTTGGTGTTTAAGACGTGTTGGGTACTAGTTCCTGGAATGAAAAGTCTAGATGAATTTGCCCCAGAATGGAACCACTGGTCTGACTGGCCTGAGGTCACATGTTTTAGACATGTTGTATCAATGGCAGGGATGGAGATACCATCTGGGCAGTTGTCATGTACATCACGTGACGGTTGTTGAATATGCCAAGGAGTGTGTGGGGGGGGGGCGCATAGCCTGGTGAGGAACTCATCAGCACGTAGGATGACACCCAGCAGGTACAAGGCGCTTGTGGGCCTTTGACTAGCGTAAAAATCTCATCAGTGTATGCATTGCCTGCTGCATAGCCATGAATGAACTTGTCTGCAAGGTCTGGCAATGCAACACTGGGGTTGTCAGGCCATTTGTGAAGAAAAACAGCATGTGCATACACAAAGTTCTGCAAGAAGTATTAGTCTTTTCCAAAGATGAACATGTCGAAGAGCTTAACCAATTCTGCAAGCATGCAGCTTTCAAATTGCATGTCTTGTTCCAAGTTAAGGAACATATAAGTGTGGATTTGATCTCAGAGGCATGATTTGTAATACTCAAACATATCCTGCACTGCCAAAGCGTAGTGGTGGAAAAGCGACCACTGTGGCACCATGATGGTTGGTATTGAGTACCAGATCAACAACAAAATCCCAATGTTCAGTCACATGATTCGGAGAGTGCTGAACAATGCAATGAACTCAAATCATCAACCTGTATCCCCCTCCCCCCCAGGGGTACCAAGGGCTTGGTAGCCATGCATTATGTGTTGTCAAAATATCCCAGCGGACATACTTGCCATGGCCTGTGACCTGAGGAAAAGTGGTTTGGATAAAATGCAAGTCCATGTAACTCAAGGGGAGGAGTGTGGGCGAGACATCAAGTTACTGCCCTACTCACTGTGCGATAAATTTTCACTCTCACAGGCAACATTCGCAATCCTGATACCCAATCTCAGCAGTCCAGCTGATTGCCAAAGTCCCACTCGGTTGTTGGGACCACATTTGATGATGCCATTGCCAAGCATATGTGCTGTCGAAATGACCCAGCAGAAATAATTGCCACATCCAGCCAGCTGACTTGCATCTCACGAACATACTCTGAGTGTTAAGCTACATGACCATTGCTTCTTGCTTGTACCACCCTATGGATATGAAGAAAAGTGGTCTGGATGCATACGGCCATATAGCTCAATGGTTAGAGTGCCAATATGTCAAGGACCTGACTCTTCATATGCCTATTGGTGATGTGAGTTCAATTCTCACTGTGGCCATCACTCAACACTTGCAAATTTTTGCTCGTTGGTCACCGATTGCTGACCCAACATCTTCAGCCCCAGGCTAGGCTACCCACTCACCAGCCATGTAGCTCAAGGGTTAGAGCGCCCATGCGTCATCTCTTGACAATAACATTCATTGTAGATGCGAGTTCGACTCTTGCCATGGCTAATGATATGACCTCTGTTTTTGTAGGTCCCAGTTTGCCGAACTGGGACATGTAGTCCCATTGCACGGCACTCAAAAGGTTGAGTAATGTACTTGTGGATCCCGCATGTTCAGTCCCATGCTACAGGTTCAGGAATTTCCAACATTCTAAGGCCTCGTAGCTCAGAAGGAAGAGCACTGATACCTCAAGTGGATTTTCCCATCTTGTAAGGTGGTGACACAAGTTCGAATCTTGCCATGGCCAATTGACCACCTTCAAAATTTTTTCACCTTCAGTGTGGAGGTTGATTGCGGACATCATTGTTGGCTTCGGCTCCCCAATTGATGACTCAGCACATTCAGTCCTGTACTACAAAATTACAACATCTGGCCACCACTTCAGGTGGTTTTACTACCTCTAAGACCATGTAGCTTGGGAGGGAGAGTGCTGATGCTTGATAATTGTGATTCATCTTGCAAGGCAGTGACGTGAGTTCCACTCTCGCCATGGTCAATGCACAACACTTTCACATTTTTGTTGCTTTTGGTGTGGTCAATTGCAGAGATCCATCTCAGCCCCAGCTCTTTATGGGTAGCCGGTGCTGACCCAGCACGTTTGGCCCTGCACCACAGAATTAGGACTTCAGGTGGCTTTCCTCCACTTTGAGGCCTTGTAGCTGAGGAAGACAAGTACTGGGTCTTCATCGAGTACCCTCACTCATTCTCCATCTTCACCTTGGTCCCAAGTCATGTTATCTCATGATATAGTTTCTTGAGTTAATTGGAGAATTTAGCAACTACATCGCCCTCAGCAATTGAAATCCATGATTTTGGCAAGCCATCCCCCACTAAAAATGGGCCCCTTGAGCAATTGAAACTGGCAAGCGCAACCCCTAATCCAATCTCCCACCCCGGCAATCCCCCAATCCCAGCAATTGACCTCCCCCCAAAACACTCCTGCATGCCTGGCAATCACACCCACCCAACCCAATCACCCACCCTGGCAAGCCCCCTCCCCTGGGAGTGCCCCACCCAATACCCCATGACAGGAATTGATCATACCCCCTACCCGCTCCCCAACCCTGGTAATCCCCTCTACCCAATACCCCATCCCAGCACATAAGATACTGTAGCTAAATTATAATGTGGGCTGGAAAATCCACAATCCTATGTTAAAATTTAGCCCCCAACTCACAAGGGCCTTGACCAA